TTGCATTATACTGGTTTACATGAAAAAAACCCTATTAAGTTGCATTATACTGGTTTACATGGAAAAATCCCTATTAAGTTGCATTGTACTGGTTTACATGGAAAAATCCCTATTAAGTTGCATTATACTGGTTTACATGAAAAAAACCCTATTAAGTTGCATTATACTGGTTTACATGAAAAAAACCCTATTAAGTTGCATTATACTGGTTTACATGGAAAAATCCCTATTAAGTTGCATAATACTGGTTTACATGGAAAAATCTCCATTAAGTTGCATTATACTGGTTTACATGAAAAAAACCCTATTAAGTTGCATTATACTGGTTTACATGGAAAAATCCCTATTAAGTTGCATTGTACTGGTTTACATGGAAAAATCCCTATTAAGTTGCATTATACTGGTTTACATGAAAAAAACCCTATTAAGGTGCATTATACTGGTTTACATGGAAAAATCCCTATTAAGTTGCATTATACTGGTTTACATGGAAAAATCCCTATTAAGTTGCATTATACTGGTTTACATGGAAAAATCCCTATTAAGTTGCATTATACTGGTTTACATGGAAAAATCCCTATTAAGTTGCATTATACTGGTTTACATGGAAAAATCCCTATTAAGTTGCATAATACTGGTTTACATGGAAAAATCTCCATTAAGTTGCATTATACTGGTTTACATGAAAAAAACCCTATTAAGTTGCATTATACTGGTTTACATGGAAAAATCCCTATTAGGTTGCATGATTACACTGAAGTCCTTGAAACTGCTGAAGTCCTTGAAACTGCTGAAGTCCTTGAAACTGCTGAAGTCCTTGAAACTGTTGAAGTCCTTGAAACTCTTGAAATCTTGAAACTGCTGAAATCCTTGAAACTGTTGAATCCTTGAAACTGTTGAATCATTGAAACTGTAGAAATGTCTGAAAGAGCTGAAGTCCTATTAAAATGCATGGGCCTATTAAAATGCATTGCAGAATTCTCAATGCAGATTTTTGTCCGATTGCGGAAAAACCGGAAATCGCTGAAGTCCCAAAAGTAATAGCAATAATCTCCCAAACATGTGGAACGTTTTGATGTATAACTTGTGGAAATTGTTGAAAATGTGAAAGCTGTGAAACGTGTCAAAAAAAATGACGGAATAAAGAAATACAAAACCAATGGTTGACTGCGGAAGGTTCCGCAGTCAATCAATTAGCACTCTGAGGTTTCCCTGAAATGTAAAGTGCATTATAAATGAAATGTATTACTAGAAACTTGCAATGGCTGAAGCCATTGCGATTGACTGCGGAACAGATCTAATGTGGAATTTAGCTGAAAAATCCTTGAAATCCTTGAAACTGTTAAAATACTTTAAACATCTTTGAAACTCCTGAAGTATTTGAAGCTCCTGATATCCTTTAAACTGTTATCCTTTATACTGGTTTACATGTAAAAACCCCTATTAAGTTGCATTATACTGGTTTACATGGAAAAAACCCTATTAAGTTGCATTATACTGGTTTACATGGAAAAATCCCTATTAAGTTGCATTATACTGGTTTACATGTAAAAATCCCTATTAAGTTGCATTATACTGGTTTACATGGAAAAATCCCTATTAAGTTGCATTGTACTGGTTTACATGGAAAAATCCCTATTAAGTTGCATTATACTGGTTTACATGAAAAAAACCCTATTAAGTTGCATTATACTGGTTTACATGTAAAAACCCCTATTAAGTTGCATTATACTGGTTTACATGGAAAAATCCCTATTAAGTTGCATTATACTGGTTTACATGGAAAAATCCCTATTAAGTTGCATTATACTGGTTTACATGGAAAAATCCCTATTAAGTTGCATTATACTGGTTTACATGGAAAAATCCCTATTAAGTTGCATTATACTGGTTTACATGGAAAAATCCCTATTAAGTTGCATTATACTGGTTTACATGGAAAAATCCCTATTAGGTTGCATTATACTGGTTTACATGTACAAATCCCTATTAAGTTGCTTTATACTGGTTTACATGTAAAAACCCCTATTAGGTTACATTATAGTGGTTTACATGTAAAAATCCTTATTAAGTTGCATTATACTGGTTTACATGTAAAAACCCCTATTAAGTTCCATTATACTGGTTTACATGTAAAAACCCCTATTAAGTTCCATTATACTGGTTTACATGTAAAAACCCTATTAAGTTGCATTATACTGGTTTACATGAAAAAAACCCTATTAAGTTGCATTATACTGGTTTACATGGAAAAATCCCTATTAAGTTGCATAATACTGGTTTACATGGAAAAATCCCCATTAAGTTGCATTATACTGGTTTACATGGAAAAATCCCTATTAAGTTGCATTATACTGGTTTTACATGGAAAAATCCCTATTAAGTTGCATTGTACTGGTTTACATGGAAAAATCCCCATTAAGTTGCATTATACTGGTTTACATGGAAAAATCCCCATTAAGTTGCATTATACTGGTTTACATGGAAAAATCCCTATTAAGTTGCATTGTACTGGTTTACATGGAAAAAACCCTATTAAGTTGCATTATACTGGTTTACATGGAAAAAACCCTATTAAGTTGCATTATACTGGTTTACATGTAAAAACCCCTATTAAGTTGCATTATACTGGTTTACATGGAAAAATCCCCATTAAGTTGCATTATACTGGTTTACATGAAAAAAACCCTATTAAGTTGCATTATACTGGTTTACATGAAAAAACCCTATTAAGTTGCATTATACTGGTTTACATGGAAAAATCCCTATTAAGTTGCATTATACTGGTTTACATGGAAAAATCCCTATTAGGTTGCATGATTACACTGAAGTCCTTGAAACTGCTGAAGTCCTTGAAACTGCTGAAGTCCTTGAAACTGCTGAAGTCCTTGAAACTGTTGAAGTCCTTGAAACTCTTGAAATCTTGAAACTGCTGAAATCCTTGAAACTGTTGAATCCTTGAAACTGTTGAATCATTGAAACTGTAGAAATGTCTGAAAGAGCTGAAGTCCTATTAAAATGCATGGGCCTATTAAAATGCATTGCAGAATTCTCAATGCAGATTTTTGTCCGATTGCGGAAAAACCGGAAATCGCTGAAGTCCCAAAAGTAATAGCAATAATCTCCCAAACATGTGGAACGTTTTGATGTATAACTTGTGGAAATTGTTGAAAATGTGAAAGCTGTGAAACGTGTCAAAAAAAATGACGGAATAAAGAAATACAAAACCAATGGTTGACTGCGGAAGGTTCCGCAGTCAATCAATAATTGATTGACTGCGGAACCTTCCGCAGTCAACCATTGGTTTTGTATTTCTTTATTCCGTCATTTTTTTTGACACGTTTCACAGCTTTCACATTTTCAACAATTTCCACAAGTTATACATCAAAACGTTCCACATGTTTGGGAGATTATTGCTATTACTTTTGGGACTTCAGCGATTTCCGGTTTTTCCGCAATCGGACAAAAATCTGCATTGAGAATTCTGCAATGCATTTTAATAGGCCCATGCATTTTAATAGGACTTCAGCTCTTTCAGACATTTCTACAGTTTCAATGATTCAACAGTTTCAAGGATTCAACAGTTTCAAGGATTTCAGCAGTTTCAAGATTTCAAGAGTTTCAAGGACTTCAACAGTTTCAAGGACTTCAGCAGTTTCAAGGACTTCAGCAGTTTCAAGGACTTCAGCAGTTTCAAGGACTTCAGTGTAATCATGCAACCTAATAGGGATTTTTCCATGTAAACCAGTATAATGCAACTTAATAGGGATTTTTCCATGTAAACCAGTATAATGCAACTTAATAGGGTTTTTTCATGTAAACCAGTATAATGCAACTTAATAGGGGTTTTTTCCATGTAAACCAGTATAATGCAACTTAATAGGGGTTTTTACATGTAAACCAGTATAATGCAACTTAATAGGGTTTTTTCCATGTAAACCAGTATAATGCAACTTAATAGGGTTTTTTCCATGTAAACCAGTACAATGCAACTTAATAGGGATTTTTCCATGTAAACCAGTATAATGCAACTTAATGGGGATTTTTCCATGTAAACCAGTATAATGCAACTTAATGGGGATTTTTCCATGTAAACCAGTATTATGCAACTTAATAGGGATTTTTCCATGTAAACCAGTATAATGCAACTTAATAGGGATTTTTCCATGTAAACCAGTATAATGCAACTTAATGGGGATTTTTCCATGTAAACCAGTATTATGCAACTTAATAGGGGTTTTTACATGTAAACCAGTATAATGGAACTTAATAGGGGTTTTTACATGTAAACCAGTATAATGCAACTTAATAGGGATTTTTACATGTAAACCAGTATAATGCAACTTAATAGGGATTTTTCCATGTAAACCAGTATAATGCAACTTAATAGGGTTTTTTACATGTAAACCAGTATAATGCAACTTAATAGGGATTTTTCCATGTAAACCAGTATAATGCAACTTAATAGGGTTTTTTACATGTAAACCAGTATAATGCAACTTAATAGGGGTTTTTACATGTAAACCAGTATAATGGAACTTAATAGGGGTTTTTACATGAAAACCAGTATAAAGGATAACAGTTTAAAGGATATCAGGAGCTTCAAATACTTCAGGAGTTTCAAAGATGTTTAAAGTATTTTAACAGTTTCAAGGATTTCAAGGATTTTTCAGCTAAATTCCACATTAGATCTGTTCCGCAGTCAATCGCAATGGCTTCAGCCATTGCAACGGTTTCTAGTTATTATTATTATTAAAATCTCTGAGAAGAATGCTCTGGTTCAATATGGCTGCCTTGTTGCCCTGGCAACAGTACCCTGTGTTCCATGTTCTATGGCTCTGACATAATCGCTTCTATCGCCATGGATACCTTTATTACATCAAGATCTAGAATTCCACTGTAAAAATATTTCCTGGTGAGTTCAGCCTTGACTCAGGAATTCAACACAACATTTGCCACACATTTCTACAGAGCAAAGCGGTTCATACAGAAACATAACAATGAGTTATTTTGGACGGAGGTCTAACAAGGCAGCTCGGATCAAGTATCTCCAGGCCCAACTGAGGGCAGCAGTCGAAGCAAACGACACCCTGCTGAAGGAGGTCCAGGGAGAGAAGGATCAGAGGGTCAAGGAGGTCCAGAAAGAGAAGGACCAGTGGACCCAGGAGGTCCAGAGAGAGAAGGACCAGTGGATCCAGGAGATCCAGAGAGAAGGACCAGCGGATCCAGGAGGTCCAGAAAGAGAAGGACCAGTGGATCCAGGAGATCCAGAGAGAGAAGGACCAGTGGATCCAGGAGGTCCAGAGAGAGAAGGATCAGAGGATCCAGGAGGTCGGAGCTCAAAAAGAGGAGAAAACAAGACTGCAGGAGCAGGTGAGCCAACTCCAGAGAGAGAAGTGTGATCTGGAGAAGGCTTTACTGCAGTCCGAGGACTCCAACAGGTCTGTCCGGCTCCAACTGGAAACCACCACTGGGAAGAACACTTCTCTACTTGAGGCTTTGGTGAAGAAGGACAGAGCGCAGCAGACGGCAACGCTCCAGATCCAGGCCTTGAAAGTGGCTGTTCAGAAGTCTGCAGAACAGGCCCAGAAGGACAAGGCCATGGCCCAAACTCACCAGGAGCAGAGCCAGGCCCTGTGTGAGAAACTGCATACGTTAAAAGAGTCAATGGCAGCTTTAGAGAAGAGGCGTGATGAAGAGATGGAAGTGAAAGATACAACCATCAAAAACTTGGAAACAGAGCAAGCAAAACTCAGGACAGACAACCAGATGTTCCAGACTCGTATCGGAGAAGCTGAGAGCCGTATAGAAGAGCTCAAGGCCTCGAGTCTGGATCAGGAGACTGACATGAAGAGGCAACATGCAGAGATGGAGAAGTTAAACAAGGCCCAGAAACAGGTGGAGACCTTTAACTCAATCCTCAACCAGAAAAATGTAATTATCACAAAACTGCGGGAAGACTTCACTAAAAGCAAAGAGGAGACGACGAAACTCAAGGGAGAACTGCAGAGAATGACAGAGTTCTGGGAAGAAGCAGAGAAGATGTCGACCCTTTCAGAGAGCACTGTGTCGGAGCTGAAGACTCAAATCAAAGCGCTTCAAAACAACGGGACAAAGAAGGAAACAAGCCCCAAACTCCAGGTGAAAAACTCTATTAAATTAGACCTGGGGAACATGGACCGAACCCCCCTGGCACAGTTCTTCGACACTTATATCCAGGAGCCACAACACGATGCAGCCAAACATTTCAGACAGATGCAAGATTTAAATGGTTTGTTTGAGCAAAAGCTGCTGTCGATGCAGAAGAATCACGACACGGAGCTGGAGACTGTGAGGCAGAGGTGTGACCAGCGTGTGAAGGAGGTTACAGAGGCTGATAACAAAACCATACAGGATCTGAGGAAGCAGATACAGCAGAAGGACCAGGACATCAAGAACAGGACCACAGAGGCGTCTGGACAGAGCCAGACGAAAGGCCGAAACAAACAGGGCCGAAAAAAACAATACTAAGACTTTCAAACTAGTCCGTTCAGAACCAGGCACAGTAACAGTCACTGTGACTGGCTTATACACATCGCCTCAAGTTTCCAAATAAAAATCTCACCTTTCGCCCTCCGTGGGCGTCTCAAAGCTTGGGTCCTCTACCAGAGGCCTGGGAGCCTGAGGGTTCTGCGCAGAATCTTTGCTGTTCCTCGCACTGCACATTTCTGGACCGAGATTTCTCCATTGGCAGAATTCTGAAATTCTGCAAATAGATCTCCGTGATTGTTTGTGTGTGAGGCTGGAGCAGACAAGTGTGTGCTGCTAATGCCGCAGTGAAATCATCAGAATTCACCATTTCTTAGTGAATTTTTTTTTTTTAAAGTCGATGCTGAAAGGGACACTTTGCCTGCATTGCTGATATTTCAGACTTTTAAAAAAATGTCCCGGTATCTCTTTGCACGCGCCATCATCGGCGAATGTCCTGTTTTTTTGCCGATGGTGGTTAACAAGACAAACATCGGCCGATACCGATGTTCAGCCGATGCATCGGTGCATCCCTACCATTATCCCCAAGTCACATGATGCCAACACAAAACAGCACAGTCTATGGCTGGTTCTCCCTGCTGTCAATCACCTCCTGGAGGCGGGGCTTCTAACGTCACAGATTGGTGCTACTGTACGTCACAAATTGAATCGAGTGATTTTGCTTCCTCTGGAGAATGAAAGAGAAAAATCATTCTTTAACTAAAGCTTGAGGGAATCAATGAAAAAAAGACTCTGGGCCTGTGCATGAGGCCGAACAGAACTGTACTGATGTTTAATAACGTAATGTGGGACCTTTAAAGAGTGTGAGGGCTGACTCCTCCCTCACAACAGGAGCGCCCTCTCCTGTGGGCTGACTCCACCTACACCCACTCCAGCTGGGGGTGTTACCTCCAGGCTCCACCCTTTGGCCTGAACCAGAGGGGAAGTTTGGGAGGTTTAGTTGAGTTTATATTGTTTATAAGTATATGTGAGTTTATAAGTTATTGTCATTATTGACAATTATTATTGCTACAGTTATTTACCTTTATCCTTAAACTAGTTTAAGTAAATGTAATGTTCTTCTTGTGTTAGGTCAGTTTTTGTCATGTTCAGTTGCTCATTTGATTTTTGCATTGTTTATTTGTATTGTTTGACAATTTTTTTGGCCAATTAAAAAGCCTCGTTATTCAAACAGTTTTGCGTGTTTCCTGCTGCACCATCGGCCCCTTATAAAGAGTATTTAGTTAAAGTACAACAGAACACTGGTGCCCAGCCGTACTCCGCCCACATGAACGTTATCTATAAAGGGCATTGCCTGGAGAACCAGAGGACGAGGAGGGGGCTTAGAGTTGGGCGTGGTCTGAGCTGTGATTGACACACAAAAAACAGACAGTTGTCATTTCTGCTTAAAGCAATAGTTTACACACCAGAAAGTCTCATTCGCTTGTTTACACACTAAGATAATTGTAGAGCTACACACCTGAACCTAAGCCACTGAATTATCTCAGCAGCAGTGGTTGTCAACTGATGTAATTACATTTTAATCCAATAGATGTCACCAGAATACTCCAACCGGCTCCTGGGGCGTGTGTGAGAGTTGGATGGGTTTATATCACTGGCGCAAACAGACACACGTCACACACACCAACTGACATCACACACACCAACTGACGTCACACACACCAACTGTCGACACGCACAACAACTGACGTCACGCACACCAACTGACGTCACACACACCAACTGACGTCACACATACCAACTGACGTCACACACACTAACTGACGTCACACATACCAACTGTCGTCACACACACTAACTGACGTCACACACACTAACTGACGTCACACATACCAACTGTCGTCACACACACTAACTGACGTCACACATACCAACTGTCGTCACACACACCAACTGACATCACACACACTAACTGACGTCACACATACCAACTGTCGTCACACACACTAACTGACGTCACACACACTAACTGACGTCACACGCACTAACTGACGTCACACGCACCAACTGACGTCACGCACACCAACTGACGTCACACACACCAACTGATGTCACACATCACTCCAGAGCCAATGGAAAAGCCAGGCACAAAATTCAGATGTAGTGCCACCAAAAAGGTAAAGAGGGCGCCACACAGACGGTTTTAGGCTCAAACGTAAAATTGTATCTAATTTGCAATAAAATGTAAAAATAAAACGACAATTGATTTGGTGTTTAGTTGTCCTTTAATCTTTATTAAAGGGAAGTGTGAGACATTAAGCTCATAGAGACAGTATGTTCTGCACCAGATTATAGCTAGATGCTAGTTTCCATCTGCAGTCCCTAAACGCATTTCATTTAGTAACGATACTAAGACTTTCAAACTAAAGCCGCGTTCCTTGCCCGTGGGGGTAAGTCCCGCCTCCAAAACGTGGGGGTGTATCTGGAATAAGAATTACCCAATTATTTGGCTGGCCTCTCCTTTCCTTTCAAAAATGTCTTTACAGAATGGTCCAAAATTCAGTTGTTGGCTTTACGCAACGTTCCAGATGCTGTCAATGCTGAGGAGATTATTTTATTTTGGACCAGTCTATTTTAGTTGCTCTGGACTTCAGAATGCACTCTTAAATTTAATGGGGCTAGTGCAGCTAACGCATGTGCAAATGGCTTTTTTCCACATTTTCCTGCCATGTGAGCATTTTGAAAAAGCCCTTAGAAGCCGCAAGTGGTGGCACATTAGTTTGAATGGCGGAGATTCGTGTGACTACCCATCCATCCATCCATTTTCTTTTCTGCTCCATCCATTGCCGGGTTGCAGGGGCAGCAGTCCAAGCAGAGACGCCCAGACCTCCCTATCAACACACACTTCCGCCAGCTCATCCGGGGCATTCCCAGGCCAGCTGAGGAACATAGTCCCACCAGAGCCCAATCTGTGTGTGGAGGTGAGGCCGAATATATCTTGTCGGGCTCAACCTCCCCCACAAGCTCAGGCTCCTTTCCCCCCAGTGATGTGACGGACTGGGTCGCCGAGGCCCCTGCCTTTAACTGCTGCCCAGTCCTTCGACCTTTTCGAAGGATTGGGGCTTGTATACCCTTGCATACGAGGCCCAACCCCAGGCCTGGCTCCAGGGTGAGGCCCAGACTGCGCCATACCAGGAGACGTCATGGTTCCTGATATCATGTGACCCACGGTGGGCTTCGGACTGCGCTTCATCTGACTTGTCACCCAAGACCTGTTTGCCATGGGAGACACTACCAGGGGCATAAAGCCCCACACAACACAGCTCCCAGGATCATCCAAGTACTCAACTCCCCCACCACGTTAAAGTGGCAGGCCAGGGGGACCAAGTCTGTTAATATTTACAGTCTATGGTTGCTTTGAGTTTCAATACTGTCAATGGTGGCCTAATCGCACCGACGATTAATTGAACCATGCACGTGCGGCAACCAATCAGAGAGCCGCTAAGTGGTCACAAGGACACAAGCCGGTTAAAACAGGAAGATGTAGAACACTCAAAAACAACCAAAACAGGAGCTAAAGCAGGATGAAACCAGGGCTGACCACGGAGGACACAGTAAACATGTGTCTTCACCCTGAGTGGACATTCTTCTGTGGCTATAGCGCTAACTGCTGCTAACGTGTTTGCTGATACAGAAGTAACGGTTAATAATCTAACACATGTATGTGAGCTCTGAGCAGATGTTTTATGACGTCTGTGGAGGATCTCAGACGCTGCACCTGCACACGTGGAGGAAAACTTTACACAAACGTTGCTAGCTTAAACTTGTTAGCATCAACGCCTGCTGCACCACTTCCGCTCTTCGTTTTCCCCCATCGTAGCAGTGCGACAGATTTACTGAATTCATGCGGCTGAGATAGAAAAATAAAAATGCACCTACCTCGTGCTTGTGTGAATGTTACACGTTTTTCTTTTCCAAGTTATTTCACTTTTTAATTGCCATCCACTACACATTGACAATGGACAGACATTTCCATGAAGCTTGTATCAAAAACTGAACAGAACTTTGACATATCTTTCACTTTATTCTGTATTTTCGGAGTCACCATTATTTACATAGCGCATAACATTAGACAGAGTCTTATTTCCATTCACTCGTCACACAGCGATGACATTGGTACCGCCACACAGCTAGGGCACAATGGCAGAGTGGTTAGCACTCACTGCACTTTCTTCTCTGTAGGGAATATAAGTTTACCTCACACAACATATTTTTAGATGTAGAGGAAACCAGAGAACCCAAAGGAAATGTACGCAGAGGAGTGAGAAGATTTAACCTCCTCTCAGAAAGGTATTTAACTTTATACCCATTTTATGTTTTAATATATAGCTTTTGAATATTGGCTCATACAAACATGGAACAGCAGCAGAGGTGGTGTAGCCGCTGGTGATGAGCTGCATGCAGTTTTTTCTGCTCTGGTTATCAGATTTTTTTTTATTAGGATTCCTCCAGTGGATTTCCTCTTGATCTGTCGGGTTGGGACCATCCTCTCTGCTCAGGTCTGGATCAGTATAAAACCATGAACACTGTACTTGTTAAACTGGGTCAATAAAACATCTGTGCATTGATCCGTTTGCTCCAACGTTCAGATACTTTTCACAAAACACTGATACAGTAAATACATCTGTCACTCCAGCCCAGACGAGTCCTTCTTTCAGTTTAATTTTTAGAAAAAACTTGAGGGAAACCATCTCGTCCGTTACACATTTTTCAAGGGTCACTTAAGTTTGAATTGATTATTTTTCAAAAAGGATTCTTTTTTAAAGTGTGATTTCCTGATGTTGTGTAAATGTGATTCTGTGGAGTTCATCTTTGTCTCTGAGGACCTTTTATTTTCTATGTCCTTTTGATTTTGTCCACACTATCTCTTCAATAAGTCTGTGTTTGAAATCTTTTTTTCTAATCTATGATACTCAATTTAGCTTTTGAGTTATAACCTTTTAAAGTCCAGACAATTAAATTAACTCTCAACTGTGAACACACACTCGAAGAGTTATGTACCTTGTGCTGTGTGCTCCTCATTCCTACTCTTCTGTAACTGGTATTGCAACACTGAAAATTCCCGTGGGACTTGAATAAAGAATCTCTTCATCTTAATCTTAGTGTTGAGATCCGTGTGGAGTGGATCCCTCTCAATGTGGGTCTCCCGAGGTTTCTCACTTTTCTCCCACTGGGTTTTAGAGTTTTGCCAAATGCCAATCAATCAACACACTTAAATGTTAATCGAAGAGTACATTATACATATCCAGTCTTAATACAAGTGCACGGAAGTTTTCATAATTTTCCGTTTACGTTTTAATGACAAAACACTGATGTAATGCGAGAAAAGGCGATCCCGAAAAACCCGGAAGTAGATACCGGCACATTTTCGGACACATTTGCAGAGGATGGAATTATGGATTTAGGTTAGGTTTATGTTTGGGTCACTCACCGCTGATGTTCAGAATTCTTTGTTCAGTTTTCATGCAGTTCCAGGGAGTTCTAGTTTGGAAGTTGCCAGCCTAACTGTTGCTAGCATAGCCACGGGAAAGCCTTTGGGAACTATTTTATTTTCTTTCATTAAATAAACCTTTCGGCATTCCTAAAAGTGGACTGAAGTTTTAGTTGTGTGTTCTGTTGGTACAAAGCCGTATAATAAGCGGGATAACGTATATTACGCAGGTCATTATCGGAAAACAAGTACCCTCAGGGCGGAAGCGGACCCCTCATTCATGGACATTGGTCTCTCCCTATGGACCAATAAATATGTATTCTCTGATCTGTGTTGGTGATTTCAATGGTTTTGTTGAGTCTCTGAGATGATACTGTGGTAATTGTATTGTATTGTATTGTGTAAATGTTCTGTACTGACCTCCTGTTCTCCGTGTGGTCCGCAGCCCACAGCAGAGGAGACGGCAGCTCCGGGGGCTCGGCCAAAGAGAGCGGAGAGGAGGCCGGCTCCAGCTCTCCCACGTCCAAACGCAAAAGAGTCAAGTTCAGCACCTTCACCAGCCTGCCCACCGAGGAGCTGCCCTACAACGCCATCCCCACCGCAGACAGCCAGGACATTCAGTGGGTCTGCCAGGACATGGGCTTCCAGGACCCCGAGCAGCTGCAGCAGTACATGCGGAGGATACAGGAGATGGCCTGAGCACAGACGCACACTGACACTGAGCTGCTACACACATTGTCTCACACACACTGTCGGGACGTCCCATAAACGGGGGGGGGGTCAAGTCCCAACTCTGAACTACATCCCCCCACACTCATCCTTATTCCTTGTCTTTGGTAATGTACCTTGTGTGAGATGGGGTGGCTCCTAAAGGCCTGTCACGATAATCACCATGTTCAATTCAAGACAATTTATTTTTGTATCGCCGTAAATCACAACAGTATTGATCTCGGAGGACCTCACAAAGCTGTCGATTCGCCAACATAGATCAGAGAATCAAACAGTAATGATAAAAACACATAGAGCCATTGGTCCATAAGCAGCCGACACCGACGTCCATAAAGCTTTCTCAACTGATGGATTGAACGATATATTTTTGGTGTCGATATTTTTATGGTAACATTACTCAGTTACTCAAAAACACTAAATATGATTTAAAGTAGCAATATGTAAGATTTTCATGTCGAGTCATCGTTAAAGGGCCCTAATCTGTCATCATTTAAGGGCCCTAATCTGTCATCATTAAAGGGCCCTAATCTGTCATAATAAAAAACTGCTCTTTTCCAACACTTCTTTAACTGATAACAGTCGTTCAGAGATATTTGAATTTCTAAATTACTTTTCCAGCCCCTAAATCTTGTTATTGTTTTCATTTCGATGTCCCGCCCTCCACCGTTTCACCAATCAGAAAGTCTGTGATCCGGGTTGCAAAATCTCACTGGTAAAGTGCCATGTGGCGCAGAACTAAAAAAGGTCTCGTTACGATTCTCAAATCATTAACGACAAAACAAGGAATAAAACCAGGATTTCTATCTTTGTGAAAAAGGTGTTGGTTATAGATTTGTTGTTGACAAAACTCTTGTCTATTCAGCTGTTATGGTCCCAGCTGGATTCGTCTGCATATCTGGCAACCTGAGTCAGGGAGAGTGGTGAAAAAAAATCTGACCACTTTTGGCCACATTTTTACATACTGCTACTTTAATTCTCCTGATTATTTTGACGCTGAAGAGTCAAAAACCACACTGGGACATGGCAATAATCGACAGAAGTTATCGTGAGAGGCCTGGTTGCTAATTGTGTTTTTAAAGCCATTCAGATCAAGGAGCTAAGATAAGGAAGGGGGTATCCTTTCTGAATTTGGATGCAGCCGAGGTCGATATTCTACTGACTTGAATTCAGGGGATAGTTCTTCATTTCAGTGCTTTTTGCGTTTCTGTATTGTTTTTCTTCTTTTTTTTACTCTGACTGACTCTGATTTAAATTCCTATGTTGTGTTGTTGTGTCTGTTAGTATCGCCATACGTGCACTCAAAGGCCAAACTGCAAATTCAAATCCATTGACGCCTGAGGAGCAGGGGATAGAGACGCTGCTCCCTGGGGCTCCTCTGGCCCCGTCACCCACGTCACATCTGCAGGATCCAGAAACTCCAAACACATGTCCCTCCAGTTATCACCTGCTTTTACTTCTAATTCACCACTTTAGTCTCTCTGGTCTCTCTCCGCTCTCTCTCTCCGCTCTCTCTCTCCGCTAACTCAGATCAATCAATAAATTATGAACAAAAACAAGATGTTATTTCAGAGACCGACACCGAATGGAGCCCGGTCCGCGCTCTCCCACTGCTCGAGGCGTTTCTCTTCTTTAATTGTCCGAGAATAAAAAAAGAGTTAATACGTTCTTTAATAGAAGTCTTACTTTAGGTGTTTTATAATATGCCTCTTTTTAACGCACAGAAGGTTTTCTCATTGAGTCAAAGTGAAGCATCAAGACCTTTGGCCTGGTCTTATTTAAACTTTTTAAATGTTCAGTTTTCATTATGTATTGATGGTCTTCAAAAACTGTTTTATTGAAAAGCAGCGACAGGAGAATAATCTTCTGAATTCAAGTCTTGTTAGGCTGGATTTCCACGTGTCTAGGGGTCTGCGAGGGTCTATGAGGGTCTATGAGGGTCTGTGAGGGTCCATCTGGGTTCTTGATGGTACATATGGATCCCTGTAAAGCAAGAAGGCCTGAATTCTAACTTTTTGATGAGAATCTACGAGACACAGAGAGGGCTCCACAACATCTGAGCTTCTCTAAGTTTTATTTTCTACGTTTGATTCTCTATGTTTGGGTTTCATCGACAAAAAGGAGAACAGTCATTCTTAAAGATCGTTGCTTTGTCGCGTTACATCCCGCCGGCTGCAGAAACACAATCTGAGTTTACAGGACTTGAGCAAATGATGGATCAGAGAGTATGACACTGGTCGAGTACCATGGAGCACTGCAAAAGTCCAACATTTGCTTGAATTAGACCAAAATATTTCTTGATTTCATTTTAAAGAACAAATATGTTTTTAGCTGTTCAACTGGAGCAATATTTTTTAAGATAAATGATCCATGCTCTTTGGACTGAGAGAAAAAAAAAAAAACGAGATAGAACCAGAATCTTTTCAGAGCGAGGAACTGGTCTCATGGATTTGATTACATAGAGTTTAATGTTGGTGAAGCAGAAAGTAGGTACCGTAGCTTTAATAACGGGATGATGGGAAAGAGCCACACTGCCATCTACTGGTAGGAGTGGGGAAACCTACACAGTGCCAACTAATTAACAGCACACAAGGAGCTAATGTAGAGAGAAAGCTGTTATATATACAGTAGATAGAGAGATTAAGGCAGAGTGTGGCAAGTTTATTTGTACTGCTCAATTCATACACAAGACAACTCAAAGTGCTTAAAACAAAACAAGGCCTTAACATCACAGATAATCACAGCACGTTAAAATACTGCAGCTGTAGGTCATTTCAGGACTACTTTACACTTTTGTCTTTTAAGAATTTTCAAAGCTCTAGCTATAATAAAAGTAAGTAATTTATGTTTTTTTTAAATTCAATTCAATTTCATTCACATTTTTTCTTGTATAGTCCTAAATGCCACGATAAAAACACACCATAAGGAGCAGATGATCCATTTGAAATGAATAAAATTGCTGCTTTGGGAGTTCAATTTAGAACAAATCTTATGCAACAATGATGATGAAATTAAAGATTATTCCATAAAAGTAATGACTATTAATAAACTAAATGCAGATACAGAACAGTCACATAGTCATGAGTAGTCTGGTCGTACCACACCATAGTACAAATGACATTTCATACTAAGGTCTGGAGGTGCTCCATTGACTCTGTTAACAGGTGGGAGGGGTTAACTCCTTTTGCAGATTGAAACGATTGGATCTGAGTTTACCGTGACGTTTGTAATGCGCCCAAGTGAGTCGTTAGCATTTAGCCTAGCTTTAGCCACCTCCTTTGCCGCTAACGGAGCCCGTGGGGAGTAGTGCCACAATTTTTTCCAGCGATTACATTTGTTAAACATTCCTCTTGCTCTGGCTTCAGTTTCTTGAAAGAACCAGACCGGATTACTTTACTATTGCCATTGCCAAACTACAACCTTCTCGTTCGACGCAAACTCTTGAAGTCACCCACAACTAAATACAACACTCTACCCCCGCGCTCTCTGATTTGTCGGTCGAAATTCAACCGATTGTAATCGCTAACCCAGGGACCAGACCCAGACGTTACATGCAGTGAAATGATGATAGCGGAGTGTTCGGATGGATAAGGCCAGGCTAAGTCGTGAGTCGATGGAACCAGCGACGAAAAAAAAAGACAATTCTGTTTGATCCATCAACAAATCATGTTTTAAGACAAATTTAAGATGATTTTCTCTGATTCAAGCAAATATGCAGCCCTTTTGTATTGTCTTTGTGGAGTCCCTCTGCTCCAATCAGGGCGTTTGTAATCCAAGACACTTTAGGATTGAGTTTTGCAGTGCACCTCCGCTCGCTCTGGTCTGGACTGGACTGGTCTGCAGCTTCTGTCCACAGCGGCCAGAGGAGACGGAAGGACACTGCTGGGACAATGCCAGGACTGGGACACTGTGCAGGCCTTTTCCAGCCCGGGACTAGGACACTGAGGCCTGGTGGAGCTGCTTCTCTCTGGGCCCGGGACAGGGACACTGAGGCCTGGTGGAGCTGCTTCTCTCTGGGCCCGGGACAGGGACACTGAGGCCTGGTGGAGCTGCTTCTCTCTGGGCCCGGGATTAGGACACTGAGGCCTGGTGGAGCTGCTTCTCTCTGGGCCCGGGACTAGGACACTGAGGCCTGGTGGAGCTGCTTCTCTCTGGGCCCGGGATTAGGACACTGAGGCCTGGTGGAGCTGCTTCTCTCTGGGCCCGGGACTAGGACACTGAGGCCTGTTGGCGCTGCTTCTCTCTGGGCCCGGGACTAGGACACTGAGGCCTGGGGGACCGGCCTGGGACACACTGGGCCGTCCCACTTGTACATTTGTTGCGTCTGTGGTCTCACTCCTGCTCCTGATTCTGTAATGCCTTATAAAGGTCCACACTGACTGTAGTGACCCTCCGCACCGACAGAGGGCGCTGCCGCCACTGCAGCTTTTAACACAACTGGAATTCATTACTTTTTTCTTATGTTCCGGAAGCTTTAAGGCGGGTGTCCACTGTCCAGTATTCACTTGTATCTAATGTATCCTTGTGTTTTTAAAATAGAGGTCGACCGATGGAGTTTTTGAAGCAAACACTGCAAGAAGTTACAAAAAATATGTCAAAAATTGCTCTGATTTGGCACACACAAAAAAGAGCACATTCTGATTGCCTTAAAACAGGATTTGCCAATGGGACAAAGCAAAACTGTTAATTATTTGTTTTAAGATACAACAAAAGTCTCCCTTAGAATGAGAGTTGTACCGTTGGCAAATCTCATTTTAAGGTAAAAACACTCGATTCAAGCCATTTTCACCTCAGATTTAATCATTTTTTGCGGTGAATGCATTGAGGCCACAGACGAACAGGGTTGAGGCTAATGTGCTAGCTTGTTTTTAGGTTGCTTTTAGGTTTTTACCAGTTTTTACACACTGCCTCAATGAGAATAGGTTTATTAAAACACTACTAGAAACTGCTAGAACTCCCAAAGATGTCATTTTGGGTCAGGGATAAGGCTCTCATTGAAATCTAAAGAATTCAGAAAAAAATCCGCAAAACAGTGAGTTGGTTTTCCACTAGTTTTACCTTTACTCACTTTTAATAGGTGTTAAAACTGGTTAATATAACTAGAAATACAGCAATGTTTGACGAAAGGCTAAAGAACTGATAGTAAACATTGTGTTGCTATGGTAACTGGTACTTACTATTCTCTGGTGGAAAATCAGGCGGAACCAATTCAAGACCAAGACCAGTCCAGGACCAGAACCTCAGAGAAAGGGGGCTCTAGCTGCCATTGAATGTTATTTCCCGAGCGACGTTTAAATGAATGGAGTTAACTTTTCAAATGAAGTAATATAAATATATAGATATAACCAAAATGTCCATGAGCGGAGGAACACTGTCAAAACAAAAACCTGTCAAAGTGACTGCTGTGGGAGTTCCAGTGTGTGTTTACATCTTTTGCTTTTTCTAGTATGGCAGTGCTTTGAACAAATCATCAGTTATATTAAAGACGGGGTTGGATCGTCCTTTGGGTAGATTTTTAACAGTACATTTGGATCGTAACAGAATTGGATCGAGTTAAAAAAGGCAGATTTACTCATTTACTTTTACTATTGTTACAAATGGGTTCATTTTTTAGCGCAGGGGTCTGCAACTTTTTTGCTGGAGAGCTACTTTACTGCACCAGAAATGGCAGAGAGCTACTCCCTCAAGCATCCTGGGAAAAGGAGTGGATAATATTAGTGATATTCGATACGGTCGCTAACAAAAGTCATTTTTGTATTATTCACATTTTTGTTACGACTGAGCAAAGTACCGTATTTTTTGCACTATAAGGCACATTATCAAATTAAGCCTATATGTTCTTACATGTTTATTGTTGTATGTATTTATATACTGTTGATTAAAAGGGGCACTGTTGAAATGAAAGGCCTTTATGTGCGCCTAACAGTGCGAAAAATATGGTAAGTTTGCGTGTACAATAGCTGTGAGAATGTGAATTACAGATGATTTTGGGAGCTACCTGAGAGAGTTACTGGTAGCTCCTGAGCCCCAGTAAGGAGTCCCCTGGTTTAGAGTAAATGATGTGGTGGTTTTTCTGATTAATGGAGGTAAAACGGCTCCATGAATCTGTCGATCTCTACTTTAAAACGAGAGCCACGGCCGTAAATGTGTGATGTTTACAGAGCGTTTGTTCTCAGCTCAAGACATTTACTGACAAAAGGCGGGTGTCACTGTGCGATGGACACACACCAGAGGACACACAACAGAGGACACAGACACACACCAGAGGACACACAACAGAGGACACACAACAGAGGGCACACACCAGACACACACCAGAGGACACACAACAGAGGACACACACCAGAGGACACACACTTGTGGAGACACACCAGAGGACACACACACAAGTGGACACACACCAGAGGACACACACACACACCAGTGGACACACACTCCGGCTTAAACTGGTTCAGATCCATTCAGTTCAGGAGCTTCGAAGACTACTTGATTCAAGACGTTTTCAACACAAATGTCTTTTCACTGCAAATACATCCATCCTTGTCCCAAACACTGACACTCTGAACTCTGGGGGTGTGAAGCCTGAGATGTGTGTGTGTGTGTGTGTAAGATGTAAGAGTGTGTGTAAGAGAGAGAGTGTATGTGTGTGCGTGTGTGTGTAAGAGAGATATGCCGCGTTCAGACCAGATCATGTGTTGCGTCGACTTTCGGTAAAAAGTCAATGGTGATGCACGTTCGAGCGCAAAACTGCATGTGCGTCTTGGAAGTTCGTGCGGCAACCAATCAGAGAGCCGCAAAGTGGTCACGGGGACATTAGTGGTCTGAGCGAGCAGACTGAACATACTGTAAACAGCCAAAACAGGAGCTACACCAGGACTAAACCAGGACTAAAACAGGACTAAACCAGGACTAAAACAGGACTAAAACAGGACTAAAACAGGACTAAAACAGGACTAAAACAGGACTAAACCAGGACTAAACCAGGACTAAACCAGGGTTTACAAGGGGGACATAGTGCTTGTGAACATATGTGTTCTCGTGCTCCCGTGACTTTATGCAACTGCTTTGAGAGTGTTCTTGATGCGGAAGTACCGTTTAATAATAAAATAAAGTTATTGCACACCTCCGTGAACACATACTGCTGTTATATAAAGTCTCTGGAAAGTCTCTGAACACAAAGACGCTGCAGAGCTGCATTATTGGAGAAAGTCCGCCCGCTACTTCCGTTGGGCGCCCCTGCGGCTGGTGCGTGCGGCTGGTGCGTGCGGAAGCTGCGTGCGGAAGCTGCGTGCGGAAGCTGCGTGCGGAAGCTGAGTGCGGAAGCTGAGTGCGGAAGCTGCGTGCGGAAGCTGCGTGCGGAAGCTGCGTGCGGAAGCTGCGTGCGGAAGCTGCGTGCGGAAGCTGCGTGCGGAAGCTGCGTGCGGAAGCTGCGTGCGGAAGCTGCGTGCGGAAGCTGCGTGCGGAAGCTGCGTGCGGAAGCTGCGTGCGGAAGCTGCGTGCGGAAGCTGCGTGCGGAAGCTGCGTTCCAGCGACGGCGGTCTGAACGCGCCAATAGAGAGTGTATGTATGTGTGTGTGTGTGCATCTGTGTGTGTGTAAGAGTGTGTGTGTGTGCGTCTGTGTGTGTAAGAGTGTGTGTTTGCGTTGGCTACTTTTGAAATGTGACTTTTGATTTTCTTTTTCCTCGTAGACTGGACAGTGTTGAACCATGTGAGTTGCGTTGAACCATGTGAGTTGTGTTGACACATGTGAGTTGTGTTGACACATGTAGCACACGGGTAGAGGGCAGAGAGACACCGTCACCAGGTACAATGGAAGATATTTATTTTTATTTAAACCAGTCTTTCATGTCTTTGTACCACAGCTGTCACTCAGAGCAGGCTGCTTAGTTTCTGTAGAGTTTGTTTTAATATCACCTGTTGACGTTGAGTATATTATACATCTGAATAAAAACATATTTAACAAAATGTCTGTGTGTCTGTTTCCATGAGATTTTGGTAAATTAGTGTTTGGTAAATCTCAGGCATCATTAACTGCTGTCTAGAAACAAAAAAAAACTAACCAACCTTTATTGAACATCAGTAGAATTCTCACATAAACACACTGTGGTGGATCAGGAAGTGTGTGAGGTCAGAGGGCAAGTGATGTCACCGCACCACTTTTATGAGTGACAGCTCAATTAAAACAGAATTAAAAGCTTCTGCCACAGATCGCTTCATATTGTTACAGCGTCAGAGCTTTTCCTCTTAATCATGTTAGATCTGAGACCATGAGGTCTTCACAGAGACCAGAGGACTGGGTGGTCCTCACAGAGACCAGAGGACTGGGTGGTCTTCACAGAGACCAGAGGACTGGGAGGTCTTCACAGAGACCAGAGGACTGGGAGGTCTTCACAGAGACCAGAGGAGTGGGTGGTCCTCACAGAGACCAGAGGACTGGGAGGTCCTCACAGAGACCAGAGGACTGGGAGGTCCTCACAGAGACCAGAGGACTGGGTGGTCCTCACAGAGACCAGAGGACTGGGAGGTCCTCACAGAGACCAGAGGACTGGGAGGTCCTCACAGAGACCAGAGGACTGGGTGGTCCTCACAGAGACCAGAGGACTGGGTGGTCTTCACAGAGACCAGAGGACAGGGAGGTCTTCACAGAGACCAGAGGACTGGGTGGTCCTCACAGAGACCAGAGGAGTGGGTGGTCCTCACAGAGACCAGAGGACTGGGTGGTCCTCACAGAGACCAGAGGACTGGGTGGTCCTCACAGAGACCAGAGGACTGGGTGGTCCTCACAGAGACCAGAGGACTGGGTGGTCCTCACAGAGACCAGAGGACTGGGTGGTCCTCACAGAGACCAGGGGACTGGGTGGTCCTCACAGAGACCAGAGGACTGGGAGGTCCTCACAGAGACCAGAGGACTAGGTGGTCCTCACAGAGACCAGAGGACTGGGTGGTCCTCACAGAGACCAGAGGACTGGGTGGTCCTCACAGAGACCAGAGGACTGGGTGGTCCTCACAGAGACCAGAGGACTGAGTGGTCCTCAGAGAGAGAGATTTGGAGTTTCTTCTCCAGAGGCTCAGACTGTAACGACTGCTGCAACATTTATCTCAGACGACAATCTGACAATAAAATGTGACGACACATGTTTTATCAATAATAAAGTATTTATAGAAGTGCAACATAATAATCTTATTGTGATGTTTGATGTTAGAAACCACAAAGATAAAACATGTTTAAGAGACGGTGGACATAAAGGACAGAGATACGAAGTTATATCAAGTTATTCCTTCATCTACAGTGTCTGTGTGTGTGTGTGTGTGTGCGTGTATATCTGTGTGTACATGTGTTTCTGTGTGTGTTTCTGTGTGTGTTTCTGTGTGTGTGTGTAGGATATTAATTGGATGGTAATAAGAGTCTCTTTACAGCGTATGAAGTGAAACAAAGAGTGAAACAGAAGCCGCTGAGAGCCACAAAAGCTGCTCCACTTTCAGGAAAAACAACAATAATCATTAATAATGGAACAAACAAACTTCACATTTCTGTGTTTTAATATTTACCATCTTTGTCGTGTGAGTGATTATGGAGTTGTGTAATTTCAGTGTGAATCCGTCCCTTCTCCTCCACGTTTTTAATCTGCTTCAGAATCACAGCAGCAGACGTCTCCGAGGACCTGCACGATTGTCAATTCTCCAACAACAGATTAGAAAAGGGCTCTCTCAACTTTCTCAATCGGAGAGCTACTTCTATATACGACAGAAGAGGCAGAAACATATTTGTAGTTGTAATAAGTGTCTCTATAACGATAGCAAAAACATGGAGAACTCAGATGTATGATATACCATAATACTGTAACCCTGGCAAATAAAGTTTACTTGAAAAAACCCTGGAAATAAATTGCACATTAACTTGCCAAGTGAACTCAAATGATTGCATTTCAACATATCCATATATCAGAAAGGCCACGCTCCAACCAGGATTCGAACTCAGAACCTTCTTGCAGAGAAGCGGAGGTGCCGTCGTGCCAACCCGCTCTATGGATACCTAACATTATCAACACTGTACATGTTCAAAATGTCAAAGTGCAGCTTACTTGAACAGAGACAGCTCAGTTCAAAGAAGGCCCAGAGTGATAAATAACAATAAATGAGTAATAGTAAGCTAGTATTTACTCACTGGGAAAAATCTTCTAAATTCTTTTCTATTCTAAAAGTCTAACAATAATAATAATAACATCAGTCCTTCAGGTCACAGCAGCAGGAGCCGCTTGGTTCATTTTCTCTGCTCTGGTCCAAAGTAAAATGCTTTATTAGCATTTTCAGAAAGTTAGCATTCCTCCTGTGGATTTTCACCTGATCCACTTGGTTCGGACCATGAATCCTCTCTGCTCTGGTCTGGACCAGTGTAAAACCATGAATCCTCTCTGCTCTGGTCTGGACCAGTGTAAAACCATGAATCCTCTCTGCTCTGGTCTGGACCAGTGTAAAACCATGAACACTGAACTGCAGCAACATCTCAGGCAGAAAAAAGCAAGAAAAATAAATATTATAAAACTCAAAACAGCTGTTTCAGAGACACTCAGGACTCGCTGCTGTTTCCAGAACATTCTAAAGATAATAGATACGTATTGACTCACAATATCATCTGTTAAACTCTAGATCCTTTGGGGAGCTACCTGAAAGGAGCTGGAGAGTTACTGGTAGCTCCTGAGCCACATGGATTAGATGGATTACAACAACAAAAGCAATAATACAGCAATTTAATTTAATGTATTCTGGTATTGCCCTAAACTACATCAGTAGTTATTTCAGAGGACTTTACAAAGCTGTTGATTCCCGACAACAGATCAGAGAATCAAACAGTTCAAAGACAGAAAATGCAACATTAACAAACACATGGAGACATTGGTCCATGAAGAGCAGAGACCAATGTCCATAAATGTAGATTGTGGTTGAATGTGGAGGGTCCTGGATCACCACTGTCCTCAGACCCTCCTGCATCAGAAAGGAAAATACCTATCTTTATTTTTATGTATTTCAAAGCGACTCGAAGCTTAGGGAGGTTCCTTTTGTCTTCTTTTTAGATGAAGGGATTTGGTTCTCCTCAGTCAGCCCAGAGAACCACAGGTCGGGTCATCTGCTCCTGAAGAGCAGCTGAGGCGTGGGGAGTGGGTGATGTCACGAGACGTCTCTGAGGAACAAGGAAGTACGGCGTAGAAACCATGGATCTATTATAATAACTGGATAGAGTATTACAGCTTGAAGCTGAAGGACCATGTGCTCGGGGGATTCTCGTGGTACTGCAGACTAAACAAGACTTAAATCACGTGGGCTACCCAGAAATTTTCCACATAGAACTCAATGTAAACTAAAACAGCTCAACCTCAGCTGTCTTTGTCTGGTTCTGTTTTGGATTTTGAAATTGATGTATTACCGTTTTATTCTGGGTCCTCCCCCTTGGACTGCCACCTTAACGTGGTGAGGGAGTTTGAGCACTCGGATGATCCTGGGAGCTATGCTGTCTGGGGCTTCATGCCCCTGGTAGGGTCTCCCATGGCAGACAGGTCTCAGTTGACGAGTCAGACGAAGCGCAGTCCGACGCCAACCATGGACAGCACTAATACAAGAACGGTGACGTCGCCCGGCATGGCACAGCCGGGGCCCCACCCTGGAGCCAGGCCTGGGGTCGGGGCTCGCAAGAGTGTTGGAGTTCTCCCCGGTGAATGAGAGGGTCGCGTCCCACCGCTTCCGGGTGGGGGACAAGTCTCTCACTGTTGTGACGGCCTACGGGCCTAACGGCAGTGCAGAGTACCCGGCCTTCTTGGAGTCCTTGGGAGGGGTACTGGACAGTGCACCGCCCGGGGACTCCGTTATTCTCCTGGGGGACTTCAACGCCCATGTGGGAAACGCCAGTGACACTTGGAGAGGGGTGATCGGGAAGAACGGCCCCCCTGATCTGAACCCGAGCGGTGTTCAGTTGTTGGACTTCTGTGCCCGTCACGGTCTGTCCATCACGAACACCATGTTCGAGCACAAGGGTGTCCACCAGTGCACGTGGCACCAGGACACCCTAGGACGGAGGTCGATGATCGAGTTTGTTGTCGTATCATCTGATCTTCGACCGCGTGTCTCGGACACTCGGGTAAAGAGAGGGGTGGAGCTGTCAACCGATCATCACCTGGTCATGAGTTGGATCCGCTGGAAGGGGAGGAAGCCGGTCAGACCTGGCAGGCCCAAACGTGTAGTGAGGGTCTGCTGGGAACGTCTCGCTGAGCCCCCTGTCAGACGGACTTTCAACTCACACCTCCGGGAGAGCTTCTCCCAGGTCCCGGCAGAGGAGGGGGACATCGAGTCCGAGTGGACCATGTTCTCTTCCTCTATCGCCAATGCGGCGGCTCGTAGCTGTGGTCGCAAGGTCTCTGGTGCTGGTCCCGGCGGCAATCCCCGAACCCGGTGGTGGACACCGGCAGTAAGGGATGTCGTCAGGCTGAAGGAGTCCTATCGAGCAATGATGGTTCATGGTACTCCGGCAGGTGTCCAGTACCGGCAGGCCAAGCGTGCCGCGGCCCGGGCTGTTACAGAGGCAAACCCGGGAATGGGAGGAATTCGGAGAGTCCATGGAGCATGACTATCGGTCGGCCTCGAAGAGGTTCTGGCAAACCATCCGGCGCCTCAGGAGGAAGAAGCAGTTCTTTGCCAACACCGTGTATGGTGCGGGTGGAGGGCTGCTGACCTCGACAGGAGATATTGTCGGGCGGTGGAAGGAATACTTCGAGGTTCTCCTCAATCCCCCCGTCACATCCTCCGTCCAGGAGGCAGAGGCTGAGGATGTTGGAACGGATACTTCCATCTCTCTGGCTGAGGTCACCAAGGTGGTTGGCAGCCTCCATGGTGGCAAGGCGCCGGGGGTGGATGAGATCCGTCCTGACTATCTAAAGTCTCTGGATGTTGTAGGACTGTCTTGGCTGACACGTCTCTGCAACATCGCATGGCGATCGGGGGCGGTGCCAATGGAGTGGCAGACCGGGGTGGTGGTCCCTCTCTACAAGAAGGGGGATCGGAGGGTGTGTTCCAATTATCGTGGGATCACACTCCGCAGCCTCCCCGGTAAGGTCTACTCCAAGGTACTGGAGAGGAGGCTACGGTCGATGGTCAAATCTCAGATTCAGGAGGAGCAGTGTTGTTTTCGTCCCGGTCACGGAACACTGGACCAGCTCTATACTCTCCATCGGATACTCGAGGGTTCATGGGAGTTCGCCCAACCTGTCCACATGTGCTTTGTGGATTTGGAGAAGGCGTTCGACGCGTCCTTTGGGGGGTTCTCCGGGAGTACGGGGTCCGGGGTCCTCTGCTGAGGGCCGTCCGGTCCCTGTATGACCGGAGCCAGAGCTGTGTTTGCATTGCCGGCAGTAAGTCAGACCTGTTCCCGGTGCATGTTGGCCTCCGCTAAGGCTGCCCTTTGTCACCGGTTCTGTTCACTGTATTTACGGACAGAATTTCTAGGCGCAGCCAGGGGCCGGAGGGGGTCCGGTTCGGGGACCACAGGATTTCATCTCTACTTTTTGCGGATGATGTCGTCCTGCTGGCTCCAACGAACCAGGACCTGCAGCATGTACTGGGACGGTTTGCAGCCGAGTGTGAAGCGGCTGGGATGAGGCCATGGTGCTCGACCGGAAAAAGGTGCCTTGCCCTCTCCAGGTGGGTGGAGAGGTCCTTCCTCAAGTGGAGGAGTTCAAGTATCTCGGGGTCTTGTTCACTAGTGAGGAAAGGATGGAGCGTGAGATTGACAGGCGGATCGGTGCAGCGTGCGCAGTGATGCGGTCGCTGTATCGAACCGTCGTGGTGAAGAGGGCTGAGCCGAAAGGCGAAGCTCTCGATTTACCGGTCAATCTTTGTTCCCTCCCTCACCTATGGTCATGAGCTTTGGGTAATGACCGAAAGAACGAGATCGCGGATACAAGCGGTCGAAATGCAGCCAGCGAAAGTTCAATTTGGTAGACGTCAGCCAAAGGTAACCCCTCCAGGCCGGTTCTCATCCCCAGCCTATCGCGCTGCAAACGCCCCTTCCAATCACCGCACCGGCCAGGCAAGCCGCTTAAAAGCGGAGAAACTCCCACTCTCTGCCTTCTCGAAGCCTGCACTTCTCGAAGCCTGCACTTCTCGAAGCCTCGCAAGCCCTCGAAGCCTTGCAGAGAATCGTCTGGAGGAATCGTTTTCGTCTACTCACGCTACTCGGCGCGACCCTGGCGTCCTCCGTCTGGCTGCTTGTGGTCTGGTCCCTGCACTGGTCTGCTCCTCCTCTGCGTCCCTGACCTGCTGTGGTTCGCATATCTCCTGCTCTCCTCCTCTGCGGGCTCTTTCTGCGGGCTGCTCCGCGGGGCCCTCCGCGGGTTTCGTGCGGCTCGTTCCTCGTGGTCTGCTGCCGCACGCAGAAGGTCTGGCGGTGCCGTGCGTGTCCCTGCCTCGATTGGCGGTGCCGCGTTGTCCCGTTGCTTTTCCCAAGTCTCCTGGCATGTGAGTACAGTGAGTGTGCTGACCGCGGACAGATTAATCCCGGAGTTTTG